TAGGTTTGAACCTTGAGATTGATCAACGTGATATAAAAACTACAATTTTGCATGGTGACTTGCATGAGGAGATCTACATGGAATAGTGGAGGGTTTTGAATTGAAGGGAAAGAACACTCCATGTGCAAAGTGTAAAAGAGTTTGAACTGTTTGATGTAGATTCTAAGACAGTGGAACAAGAAATTTGGTTTGTTCATAATGAGTCAAAAATACATGACAAAATCTTCAAATTCTTGTTATTACTTTATGACATTCCCTAATGATAAATTCATTATCCTTTTGTTATATGTCAATGATATGTTAATTGTTAGACAAAATGTGATGATGATTAGTAAGATAGGGAAGGAGTTATCAAGGTCATTTGATGTGAAAGACTTAGGATTAGCTAGACAAATTTTGAGAATAGATATCATTCAAGATAAGAGAGTTAGGAAGTTATGGTGATCACAAAAATGGTATGTTGAATGGGTGCTTGAAATGTTCAACATGAATAATGTTAAACCAGTTAGCACTCATCTTGCCAACCATTTCAAATTAAATAAGAAGTCTTGTCCAATCAATGGAAAATAAAAGCAAGAGATAATGGAAATTCCTTACTCTTCTGTTGTTGGTTGTTTAATGTATGCAATGGTTTTCATACAACTTGACATCGCTTATGTGGTTAATATTGTAAGCAAGTATATTTCTAATTTTAGAAAATCTCACTAGGATGTAGTCAATAGGATTTTTTTGATATTTAAGAGATACTTTGATTTGTGCTTGAGTTTTGGGAATGCATAACCTACACAAATGCAAATAAGGCAAGTTACCTTGATAATAGGAAAACTATTTTGAGGTATTTGTTTATGTTTGTAGAGAGAGCTATGATATGGTACTTAAAACTTCAATGAACATTTTTAAAAAATCTATCTTTTAATACCATGGCAGCATTGGTCAATATCACATCAATCTATTCAAATTGTTACATTAGCCTAATTAATGCCATATTAACTTGATCAATGCTGCATCATTCTGGTCAATGACATATCATTCTAATCAAATATCATGTTGCTAACTTAATAGAGGATGTTAACTATGCTAACAATTGGATTGAGATTAATAAATCTTGAAAGTACTAAAACTCGATTTACACGACTTATAATAAAGGGATTAATCTACCACTTCGGTGGCGTGGAAGGACTATTTACGTAATTTGATCAAAATTAAAAAATCTTCATTTTGAGACATTTAAAGTATAAAATGAAACAAAAAGATTGTGTTATTTTTAATTTGACATATTAGATAAAATGAACGTAATTTTTCTTCTCATTCCTTTTTTTTCTCCTATTTTTTCCCTTTCGTTATCATTAGTGCCATGTCTAGGGACTCAACATACCATATTTGGCAACATTAGGGATTAAATTAAGATTAAATTACTTTTTTGGTCACTTCATTTTTCAAAATTTTTATTTATATTACTTAATTTTAAAAATTAACGTGTGATTACTAACATTTGTAAGTATTGTTATTTTGATCTCTCAGTCTTTAAAAGATAATAGACCTTCAATGTGACATTCCATGTTACTTGCTCTAGTTGTACTAGGAATTTAACAAAGAAAAAGAGGAAAAATATAAGAAAAAAAACATCTAAGAAGAAGAAGAAGAGCAAAGGATAGAGAAAGGAAAAAAAAAAGAAAAGAAAAAAGAGGTACATTTGATTCAACGTATCTCATGAAATTTGACTCTCTTTGTTTTTTAATATTATCTCTATCAGACTTTTCAAGAGAATTATCACACAAGTTTTTTTATTTTAAATAAATTATATATTAAAATTTTATTCTCTTATAGTATTAATATTCATTCCTTTTTAGTGAGAAAAAGTTAAAAACAACTTCATTTTGAAATATCTAAAAAACTAAAATGAATAAAGCATAGAACGAAAAGAATATGTTATATCATTGAACTATTTGCAGGAAACAATATTTCTTGATACATTAAGACATGATAAATCATATCACAATCCAAAAATGGCACAAATAAATTTTAACTACGCAAACACATTTAATTCACTCAAGTATTAATTTTAAGTCTTCAAGAACAAATTCTAAATGAAATTGGCATCATTTTTTACACCCAAACAAAGTTCTTTCAGATGGATGTGTGGTAGAGGTGAGTAATCAGTCGACTCAGTCTTAAAATTGTCAAATCTATTTAACCAAAATCCCAATAAAAAATAATCGAGATCAAATTATCTTAAACGATTTTAAACATTAATAGTATCAAGAATATTTATATATAAAAAATAGTTTAATTACTTTATTTAACGTTTCAATAATGTTTCACTAATAAAACCTAAATACTTTTGATTTAATAATATATATTTTAAAATATTAATAATATGTATACATATAAAATATATTTAAGTATATATTATTTATAATCAAATTTTTTATCGATTCGATTGTAAAATTTAGTTATCAACAATCAATCAAAATAAAATGAATAAATCATTACTCTTAACGAATTAATATCAGAACAAAATAATTGAATCAACTTAATTAAATTCAATTAATTTTGATAAACCGTGCATCCCAAGTGAATGTTTCTTCAAGTGCTATTGACCTGTGCTGGCAGTATTTAAACCTTTTGGACAGTGTGATTACGTGTACGAGCCATCGCACATTAGGCTGCTATCAGTTTTTCTTCTATGTAATCTGTCCTATAAAGTTGTCGTCGCTGATTGTCAGTGGAACTGTGGGGAAAAGAAATCAGATAAAGAAAAGGGGAAACTACAGAATAGGGAAATAAAATGAAAAATATTTAGAATTACACCATTTTTGTAAATATTTCGTTGAAAGAAGTCATATTTGGAAAAGTTACTAATGAAAAATATGCAAGTCTAATATTTATTGTTGCAGCATAAGTTAAAACTTTGAGGTTGAAATCAATTTCCCCAAGATAAAACAATGATCAAGAGTAAACACTGATATTCATTTCCTTCTGAACAATTTTCAAAATTCTATTTCCTTCATAATAATTACTATTTATGATGGAAATAGAATCCAAGTAGTATTTGTAGTCCATCGCCCTTTCTTGTAATTCCCCTTTAGGAAAAAACTCAATTTAACTTTTAAAAACCCACCAACTTCTTTGACCAGAAAAACACACTTGCTTCTCCTCACGCGCCTCACATTGGATAAGTGGCGATCAGATCGGTTTGCATCTTTTATTTTATCCACCACCTAAGTAGCAGTGGGCCCCCACCGGAATGCCTACACTATCTTCTTCATAATTGAAGCCTGGTAAAGCACAAGTATCCTTTTCAATTCTCTTTCTTTGTTTCTTTTTTGTTCGAATCATCCTATTCATCTTTTTCCTTTTTCACCCCTTTTTTCGTTTAACAAATAATAATAATAATAATAATAATAATAATAATAATAATAATGCAATCGAGGATATAATTGAAAAGGTTATCCTATCAATAGCCTTTTCTTTCCATTGTTGCGTCCTTCTCAAATCTACTAAATCTCTTAATTCCACTAATAGAATCTCTTAATTTCTTTCTTTCCACGTATTAGGTTGCTGGAAGGTTCCACAATATTTTGTCTTCAGGTTTGGAAGTAATGTTTGCTCCTCCTTCAACACCCTTGTACAGATCACTCTTTCATCAATGAAGCAGCTTTTAAAAAATAAAAAATGTCGTAGCAGAATCAAGTTGGTCTTGCTGGATTTCCATTTTGTTGGAGAAAAAGTCCATGGTAAACCAAAGCTCATGCTACAACAATCTAATAAGGGACTCTCTTATCCTCTCATGGTCTAATTATAACCTATAACTTGTCATCTTTTATTTGATTTTGCAATTGTATTAACCTAGATTAATTTCCCCTTGCTATTTTCTACTGCAAAGCTAATCATTAAACTTGCAGTATATCATATATATATATATCATAATTCTCGACACTGACCTAACCGAGTGAGTAAAAAGCCTTCCTTATTTTTCTGTCTTAGCTAAACTAATCCTCAGTCGAAGATTTAGTGAAGCCAATAGGCATGGAAAGGTTTGTTGACACTTAGCACGGTTAGAGCTACTGATAATTGGTATTTCCTTTAGGCTTTATTTATTTATTATTATTTTTAACTAAGTGATGGACAAGAGATGTGGCCTTTGAAATTTGCTTTGGAAGAGAGGGAAAGTCGAACGGAAGGGAAGAAAATATTTTCTACAGGATCAATTAAATAATATTAATAAATTCAAATAATAAAAAAAATTAAAAAAGACAGAAAAAGAAAGGAGAGAGATGAAAGGTAAAAATCAGGAGTACAAATATTTTCCTTTGAGGGGTTGACCTTGCCTTGCAAAGCCACACTCTTCATACTTTGGGATTATTCCAATAATATCCTGACCTGGCATAAGAACTTAAAAAAAATTAAAATGCCTAATCGCATGACCGCATGGAGAGAGGTGGCACTAACATTATACTTTAGTTAAAGTTAATTCTTTTAATTGTTTGTATTGAGTCATAATTAACATGATATTAATTATTTAGCGTATACACTGGATACATTGTTTAATCATAGATATATGAATTTTATATTCAAAAAGTTAAATTTTGAATATTTTTGATAAAAAAATTATCTAACTTCTATTCTCAATGATTATTGCAAATGGTAATACATAAGCAGAACCCTCGTATCATTAATCAACCAAATAATAAAAAAAAAGTTTTCTATTTATTGGCACTATAAATTAAAAAAAGCTCATCCGGACCCCAACAAGGAGAAGACGCCAACATGTAATTAAAGAAAATAAACAAGATTTTCAGACCAGAACCAGACAATTCATAGATGCTAAGAGGCCCCTTTCGTCTATCATATATTAACCATTTCAATCTGTAGGTAGTCAACTATATATCTTGTGAAAAAGGAAAGACACGCCCTATGTTTTTCAACACGTCTAATGAGGAAAGTCCAAATGCGTTCAAACACATTAGATACTGAAGATGCAAAAATGGAAGTAGCCAGATCAGATACAATTCATTTTGCATCATATCTGGTTTCAGGTTTTGTAAAACCATTAGCTCGGGCCCCGTATAAAATGATTAGAATTCTACATAACAAGGTCCAGCTTTCATGTTGTTGAGAACAAGTCATCAGCTGTTTTAATTTGATTCTGATCACCACCATGTATCAGTTACTGCCTCAATTCAATGCCCCTCAGGATTCTAATCTTCCCATCTCTGAGATCTCATCTGATCCAGCTACAACTATTCCATCTGAATGCGTCAGGGAAGCAGTGTTTGCAGGAGGTCTGCCTCTGTCTCTCCCTGATCTTCCTGTTTATATGAAGTCACTAACCCGCATATTCTTATTGATGCATAAACTTGCAGGTAGCTTTTGGGGTCTTGAAGCTGGTTTTGGGCGTGTAGATGGAGTCATAAAAACCGCCACTGGCTACTGTGGAGGAACCCTGAAAAAACCTTCATACAGAGAGGTAAAGAAGACAAAAGAATTTCTTGAAAGTCATCAGTAAGAGAGCTAGGCCAGCTCTACCCTGTTAACATCTCAGTCATGACCATGCATGCAACAATATGACTAATTTCTTTTCATTATGTGTATCAATTTCTAGGTTTGTGAAGGGAAAACAGGCCACACTGAAGCTGTAAAAGTCATATATGATAAGAGAAAGGTCTCATTCAGATCACTATGTGATATCTTCTGGGAAATCCATGATTGCACCAACAAAGACTACCTTGTAATTATTTCTTCTCCCATATTTAGCTTTTATTTTTCAATTCATTATTATGATTATATATAGGACCTAAATTAAGCCAATCCATTCGCATAACCTTTTTTTTATTGGCCTTTTGGTGAAGAATTACAATTTTTCTATTATATTAGGTCATTTATTAATATTATTATTATATGGTCATCATTGTCATCATAAACCTAGAATACATTTGGCGCAGAAATTTGGACTAAGTACACATCTTAGGTCAGCAATCTTTTACAGCATGGAGGAAGAGAGAAAGCAAGCCCAAGAGTCAAGGATCGGACGGCAGATGAAATTAAACAGGAGAATTGTGACCAAAGCCCTCCCAATTGAGTATGATTTTTGTATGGCAGAAAACCAGCATCAAAAATATTACTTGCAGAACAATAATAGGCTTTGCGAAAGCTTGAATTTGAGAAGCACAGAGCAATTTGTGGAGTCAACCATTGCTTGCAAACTCAATGGGTAAGATTTTTGTTTTTAATCAAGTTTGATTTTAAGTAAAATCAAGAGATTTAAATTTAGTTTTAAGTGAAAGACACATACCTTTATCGTTGAGTTGAATGTTCAGACGCGAAAATGGAATAGGGGTGGGAATGAGCTTTAGGTCAACACCACTAATAAATCTAAAGCACTATACCATGAGGGACCCTGCTGCCCTCGGCCTCGTTCCAGTGAATAGCCCTATTAAAAATGTTCACATGTTGAAAGCGATGCTATGGACCATGACCGACCTCTAGTCCCCTTTTTCTTTCTTTCTTTCCCTTTCATTTCTTTAATTTTTCAGAGAGGCATGTTGTCTTTTTCATGGCATTGGGATCTTCCAAATCACGCCATGGATTTAAGTCTTTGTCTTGTAAACGCAGCATAGGATCATGAACTAGGATTAACTAAGTTTTTTTTTAATTTTTTTTACCCTTTTGGCCAATTCAAGAATGATCTAACGAAGCGGAATTTTAGTAATAGTATCACACGCATATCAGTTCTAAATATCCAAAATCATCTGAATCAATAATGGGCTGTTAAACAATTTATAACTTACGGAATCTTTTGTTCTCCTTTCCTGGTTGCCAAATCTTCAGGATTTTAGCCATGGAAGCGAGGTCACGTATTGAGAAGCTGACAGCATTCTTGCGAACAAACGAGACGATGGCAGAGGAAACCAAGTTAGTCTGCAAAGAAATAATAGAAGGTTCTAAAGGGAAATGAAGATGGAAAGGCTCAAATTCTCTGAAGATCGTTCGTCAGCAGGACCCAAGTTTAATGTAAATATATTAAAATTTTTAAGTGTAAGAAACGGATCAATCAAATCAAAACTACAAGTACTGTGGAGTTGAACTTATAATTGTAATGATACTACATTTGCAGTTTGGTTCTGATAATCCATTATATATTTCAGCCTTTATTGTTTCCGGTATTAGACTTAATCAGATGGGATTTTTCCAAATAAAAATTGGGAATTATTAAAGCTCTGGTGTAAGGCACACCGCAGACAATGCAATGAGGAACAAGGAACATGTCAAACGCAAACTTCACGTGATTTTCCAGTCCCCTCTCCCTCTCTCTCTCTGCATTCCTGTTTGGAAATGTAATTAAATCTATGTATACGCTATTTTTATGCATGCAAACTTGCTAGACATGATGTAAACTCTCATGTGATTTGTGTATGTTTATAGTTCGTGCAAGGAAAATGCTAAAATGTTTTTTTCTTTTGTGTGTGTGAATATTATATTTACTATATATATTCGTAATAATATTGGAAGGTTTTAAGATGAGATACAGATTCCTCAGGTGAAATTCCACGTCAGCTTCCATTTCTGTGAAAATCAAATAAAATCCCATTTGTTTGTTTCTTTTATATATTTATATTTCATTGTACCTATTAAAAAACAAAGGGAAACAACTTTATTTTCCCCCTCAACCAAAATTATTTTATCATTTCCTTTCCCACTTTCTGATTTTTTGTTTACTTTGCAAAGAAAAGGGAAAGAAAAAGGACTAAGCAGAGCTGGAAATATATTGGACTCTTTAGTCCATTGTCTCTTCTTATTGTAAGTTCATGTACTTTTAATTCATAGAGTTAAGTTCAAATTCAGGTTAAAATAATTTTTACTGATTTTTATTCATTAATAGTTTTTTAATATATTCATAATCACACTGATTTATAATGTAGGACTCAATTAGCCATTGTGGATTCTCGCTTTTAAATAACAATGATGAGCGTATCAAAAAATAAATAAATAAATAAGAGTTAAACCCATTGGAATCTTCAGATTTTATTGATAAGGAAGAAAAATGTGAAAAATAAAATAAAGTTATCGGGTAGTCCGATTTGAGGCTGAGTCCATATTCATAAATGAGAGTTTCGATAATTTTAGGTCTTTTGGGAAAACAACAGAAAGGGATGGAAAAAATTAATATGATTAGTTGTTCTATACATAGCTGTCCTCAAAACTGATGGTGTATTTTCAAAATCAAAAGTTATGTCACATGATGAAAAGCTATTTTAGTTCAATAGTTATGTCACATAAAGTGACATAATGTGTCAATTAGATTATAGACAGGTTTTCATGCGAATGGTTATGTCTCTTTGAAAATGATATCTAAAAGTTATGAGACATATTGAAAAGACACCAAAACTCAAAAAGATAGATATGAAAAGTTATTGTTTCAAATTATAACTCAAATGTTATAATTTATGGAATGAATAGTTATCTTTTCATAAGATAATTATTGAAACAATAACTATATTTAAAAGTTGTGTTTGGAAAAATGAAAAGATACCTTTTAGACAAAATGGTGCCTTAATGAAAGGGTTGTGTCTTTGAAGAAGAGACACTTACAAGCCTATATAAAGGGCTTGCTATCAACCATTTTGACATATAAAAGAAAACAAAAAAACAAGAGCAGAAATATCTAGAGTAAGAAAAGTGTTATGTTATAATAATATAAACACTTAAGTTCCCATCAACTACAAAAGCTTCCAAATTTCTTATAGTCTACTTGCTGCAAAAAGTAGATTCTAAGGCCAAACAACTTTGCAAACCCTCGGTTGTATCTAGCGGTCTATTCTCGTTAAGTGCAAAACGAAGTTAGACGTTGGCTTCATTGTATACTTAAGACTATTTACATTATTCCCTTTTGCATACCAAGTGGTGGAGGTGAAATAAGTCTTAAAGATAACGTATATTTAAAGGCTCGCTTTGAAGTCAATTTTGCCATTTATTGAATACCTTCAAAACCCCATTTGCACCAACAAAAACAACCCAAAGATCACGAGGGAATCATCTTCTTTATGGAAGGAGCTTAACCAGAGGAAGGCAATGAAAAATAAAATGACTTTATTGTAAGTCTTTTAAATTTTGCAAATGCCCTTTTGATTTAGACCATTTCGTGAATGAATTACAATTATTTTTATTTCTTTATTATTTTTTGTTTTGTTGGTTTTTGTTTTTGATGGTATTAATTTAATAAAGTCAATGAATTTTTTGTTGAACTGGAATCATTAGATTTCTAATTACCTTTTCTCTCATGTCCAAATCATATATATTGATAAAATAAGGTAAAATACCTCTATTCTTAATTTTTAAGTATAATTCCACGGAAGTCTATTAGTATTAGAAATGGACAGCTTCCCATAAAGTCTAAACACCATTAATGGGAAGTACAAAAGGTCAAAATTGCCCATGTATAAATATATCTTAATCAAGTGTTAAAGCTTGCTAATTACTATAGTCCCTTTCTCTTCCCATTCTTCGTTTTGTTCTTTATTCTCCTTTTCTCTCCTTTGGTTTTCTCACCAGTATCTACATCACTAATTGATTAGGGTTTTTTTAACCTTCTACCAATTAGATGCTTCATCCCACATCAAAATAACCTAAAATCAAACCCTTGCTTAGAAACCTTTAAACTGTGACCCAAATCGAAAGAGTGAAGGATTGTTAGGGTTCAACAATCATTAAGCACTGGTATGTTTTGTTGATATGTTAGGGTTAGTTTTGGATTTAGGGATCTTGTTTTTGTTGAT